AATTGAACAATCGAAAATTTTAAAAACGACAATTGAAAAACAGGAAATCTAAAACCGGGAAATCGAAAAATCGATTGACTAAGAAATCAAAACATTTGAAAAATTCGAAAACTTAAAAAACTGAAATATCGAAGAACTGAAATGAGAATTCGAGAAATGGAAAAATCTAAAATTTTAAATATTGAAAAATTAAAATATCAAAAAACCGATAAATCTAAAATTTAAAAATTAAAAAATTGAAAAAACGACAATTGAAAAACAGAAAATCTAAAACCGGGAAGTCAAAAAATCGAAAGATTAAGAAATCGAAACATTTGAAAAATTGAAATGTGGAAGAGCTGAAATGAAAAATCGAGAAATCTAAAATTTAAAAATCGAAAAAGGAAAAATTCGACACATCGAAAAATCCAGAAGTCAAAAATGGAAAAGTCGAAGAATCGAAATACTGAAAAATCCCAAAACTGAAATATCGAAAAACTGAAAAATGAAAAAAATCTAAAAATGGGAAACTAAATCGGGAAATCAAAACATTGAAAAATCGAAAAATTTAAAACGACAATTGAAAACAGAAAATCTAAAACCGGGAAGACGAAAAATCGAAAGATTAAGCAATCAAAAATTGAAAAATCGAAAAAGTAAAAAAATCGACACCTCAAAAACTCCAGAAGCCAAAAATCGAAAAGTCGAAGAATCAAAATATTGAAAAATCCCAAAACTGAAATATCGAAAAACTAAAAAAGGGAAAACCTAAAAAATCCGAAAACTGAAATATCCAAGAGCTGAAAATATAAAAAGTCGAAAAATTAAGCAATAGAAAAATTCGAAAAGTGAAGTCGAAAAATTGAAACCTTAAAAAAATTAAACAATAAAAAATCAAAAATCTGAAAAGTCGAAAAATTAAAGAATTGAAGAACAGGAATATCGAAACCTCTAAAGTCAAGAAATGGGAAAATCAAATCATCGATTAATTGAAAAATCGAAAAATTGAAAAATCGAAAATTTGAAAAAACGACAATTGAACAACAGAAAATCTAAAACCGGGAAGTCGAAAAATCAAAAGATTAAGAAATCAAAACATTTGAAAAATTCGAAAACTTGAAAAACTGAAATATCGAAGAGCTGAAATGAAAAATCGAGAAATCGAAAAATCTAAAATTTTAAATATTGAAAAATTAAAATACCAAAAAAACTGAGAAATCTTAAATTTAAAAATCGAGAAAGTAAAAATCGACACATCGAAAAATCCAGAAGTCAAAAATGAAAAAGTCGAAGAACAGAAATATTGAAAAATCCCAAAACTCAAATATCGAAAAAGTGAAAAATCCCAAAACTGAGAATCTAAAGAATCGAAAAATTGAGAAATCGAAAAATAAAAAAAGTGAACTCGAAATATCGAAACCTTAAAAAAATCGAAAAATTGAAAAATCAAAAACCTGTAAAATCGTAAGATCGAAAAATTTAATAATAAGTAAACTGAAAAATCCCAAAACTGAAATGTCCAAAACTGAGAAATTAAAAAATTGAAAAATTGAGAAATTGAAAAATCAAAAAAGTGAAGTTGAAAAATCGAAACCTGAAAAAAAATAGAAAAATTGAAAAACCAAAAAAAAAGTAAAAAATTGAAAAATCGAAATATTTAAAAATCGTAAAATTGAAGAGAAAAACTGAAAACCGAGAAATTGAAAAATTGAGAAATTGTAAAATCCAAAAATTGAAAAATAAATAGGAGTAAACTGAAAAGTCCCCAAACTAAAATTCGAAAAACTGAGAATTCGAAAGTTGAAACAGCAGAAATTATGGTCGAAACCGGTTAGGATGTGTATCAGATCACGGATCATGGCTTATAAATCAAATCGTTTCCGAACGCTTAGAGTCGACATTGGCCTGACTGCGCCCTGGTCCGTAGATCAAACAAGTTCTCAGACGACGAACTGTACTCGAAAAATTGAGAGTTTATGAAAGTCAAATTTGAAAAATTAAAAAATCGAAAATTTGACAAAACGCAATTGAAAAACAGAAAATCTAAAACTGGGAAATCGAAAAATCAAAAGATTAAGAAATCGAAACATTTGAAAAATTCGAAAACTTGGAAAAAATTGAAATATCGAAGAACTGAAATGAAAAATCCAGAAATCGAAAAATCTAATAAAAAAAATCGAAAATTTAATCGAAGAATCGAAATACTGAAAAATTTCCAAACTGAAATATCGAAAAACTGAAAAATGAAAGAAAAACTAAAAATGGGAAACTAAATCGGTAAATCAAAACATTGAAAAATCAAAAAATTTAAAACGACAATTGAAAACAGAAAATCTAAAACCGGGAAATCGAAAACCCGAAAGATTAAGCAATCGAAAAAGTAAAAAAATCGACACATCGAAAACTCCAGAAACCAAAAATCGAAAAGTAGAAGAATAAAAATATTGAAAAATCCCAAAACTGAAAAATGGAAAACCTGGAAAATCTGAAAACTGAAATATCCAAAAACTGAGACCCTAAAAAGTCGAAAAATTGAGCAATAAAAAAATCCAAAAAGTGAAGCCGAAAAATTGAAACCTTAAAAAAAATCTCAAAAACCTGAAAAATTGAAGAATTGAAGAACAGGAATATCGAAACTCTCGAAAGTCAAGAAATGTGAAAATCAAAACATCGATTAATTGAAAAATCGAAAATTTTAAAAACGACAATTGAAAAACAGAAAATCTAAAACCGGGAAATCGAAAAATCTATTGATTAAGAAATCAAAACATTTGAAAAATTCGAAAACTTGATAAACTGAAATGAAAAATCGAGAAATGGAAAAATCTAAAATTTTAAATATTGAAAAATTAAAATATCAAAAAACCGATAAATTTAAAATTTAAAAATTAAAAAATTGAAAAAACTACAATTGAAAAACAGAAAATCTAAAACCGGGAAGTCAAAAAATCGAAAGATTTGAAAAATTGAAATGTGGAAGAGCTGAAATGAAAAATCGAGAAATCTAAAATTTAAAAATCGAAAAAGGAAAAATTCGACACATCGAAAAATCCAGAAGTCAAAAACGGAAAAGTCGAAGAATCGAAATATTGAAAAATCCCAAAACTGAAATATCGAAAAACTGAAAAATGAAAGAAAAACTAAAACTGGGAAACTAAATCGGGAAATCAAAACATTGAAAAATCGAAAAATTTAAAACGACAATTGAAAACAGAAAATCTAAAACCGGGAAGTCGAAAAATCGAAAGATTAAGAAATCGAAAAATTGAAAAATCGAAAAAGTAAAAAAATCGACACATCGAAAACTCCAGAAGCCAAAAATGGGAAAGTAGAAGAATTAAAATATTGAAAAATCCCAAAACTGAAATATCGAAAAACTGAAAAATGGAAAACCTGAAAAATCCGAAAACTGAAATAGCCAAAAACTGGAGAATCTAAAAAGTCGAAAAATTGGGCAATAAAAAAATCCAAAAAGAAGCTGCAAAAAACCTTAAAAAAATAAAAAAATAAAAAATCGAAAACCTGAAAAATCGAAAACTTAAAGAATTGAAGAACAGGAATATCGAAACCCTCGAAAGTCAACAAATAGGAAAATCAAAACATCGATTAATTGAAAAATCGAAAAATTGACAGTTTATAAACGTCAAATTTGAAAAATTGAAAAATCGAAAATTTGAAAAAACGACAATTGAAAAGCAGAAAATCTAAAACCAGGAAGTCGAAAAATCGAAAGATTAAGAAATCGAAACATTTGAAAAATTGCAATATGGAAGAGATGAAATGAAGAATCGAGAAATCGAACAATCTAAAATTTTAAATATTGAAAAACTAAAACACCAAAAAATTGAGATATCCAAAATTTAAAAATCGAAAAAATAAAAAGTCGACACATCGAAAAATCCAGAAGTCAAAAATGGAAAAGTCGAAGAATCGAAATATTGAAAAATCCCAAAACTGAAATATCGAAAAACTCAAAAATCCCAAAACTGAAACATCCAAAATCCGAGAATCTAAAGAATCGAAAAATTGAAAATCAACAAAGTGAAGTCGAAATATCAAACCTTAAAAAAATCAAAAACCTGCATAATCGTACGATCGAAAAATTGAATAACAAGTAAACTGAAAAATCCCAAAACTGAAATGTCCAAAAACTGAGAAATTAAAAAATTGAAAAGTCGACGAATAAAGAGTTTATAAAAGTCAAAAATTGAAAAATCGAAATGTAAAAATAGTAAAATTGCAGAGAAAATCCGAAAACTGAGAAATTGAAAAATTGTAAAATTCAAAAATAAAATAAATAGGTGTAAACTGAAAAGTCCCCCAACTAAAGCAAGAAATTATGGTCGAAACCGGTTAGGATGTGTATCAAATCACGGATCATGTCTTTAAATCAAGTCGTTTCCGGACGCTTAGAGTCGACATTGGCCTGAGTGCGCTCTGGTCTGTAGATCAAACAAGTTCTCAGACGACGAACTGTAATTCGTGTGACCTGAATTAAAGTGAAGGAAACAGTAAGCAGTTTGTAATATTCTGGTAAATCTAGTGTCAACTTGTCGAAAGTAAAACGCGTCGTTAAAAATATTATGACATATTTTCTAGTTCATTTTATTCCTAGTTAGAACAAACACTGTTGCCAACATAAGTCGAGGAGTCCTCAACCGTCATTTAATTTAAACTATGACGCTCCTCTATGTTCTCTGGTTTAATATCCGAGTCATAGAAAGTGAATATTTAAATGGAATTGAGGTAAATAACACAGAAATATGTGGCAGAAGCGGAGGGCGCGATCCCTTGTCGAGCTGGCGGTCAGGGGAGCGGTCGGGATGACGTGACGTGGCGTGCTGAGTGGCACGTGCTTGCAGATAGAATAGAATTGCCGTCGTGGCGGGAGAACAGCCACAACCAGGAGCCCCAAACTCCGCTCGTGCTACAACGCCCCCTATGGGCATGCCACACCGCATTTCATACAATTTTTGGTGAATATACAAATGTATTGTTAAACTCGTAACAAAAACACAAACCATGTCATAATCACTTTAATAAAAAAGTTTACACCTTCATAGTAAAAAACCCTACTCTTGCCTATCCGCATGTAACTGCGTCGCCCCCAACCTCGACGGATCCTGACTCGGGTAATGAACGGCACTTTTCGCCGCCGCCTCACTAGTGACCGTGCTGGTGCTAGCCGCCGCCGGGGCCGGCACGTACGCCGAGATCTGCGGCGGATTGAAGAAGAACGGGGGCATCGGCGGCGGCCCGAACATAGGCGGCACGATGAGAGACGGCGGCGGCGGCATATTCGGTAACGGAATGTGTCCCGGTTCCAGATTGAAGAAATTATTACTGAGTTCGGGCAACGCCCCTGGTAGCCCCGGCACGGGCTCGTAGGCCTCCAATCCCGGATTAATAGACGGACCGGCGCGGCCTTGCGACCGCCCCCATTTAATAGTCAGCCGCCGCCCCCCTAGTATCAACTTGTTGAAAGTTTTTTCGGCCGCCGTCTCCGCCGCCGCTCTCGTCGTGTACTGGACGAAAGCGCATTGTTGCTTAGGGACTAAGCTCACGGAGCGGATTTCGCCGTATTGGTAGAAGTGGTCCCTAAAATTAAGTTAAGTTGGTACTGGTGTCTATAGACATGACAAACTACAAACCTGATATCCTGCTCTGTGAGGTTGCCTAAATTGCCAATATACAAAGTGGTGATGGTTTTGTCTTCTGGGGGCGGCAGCGCCGGCATGGCGGCGGCCCGTTTCAGTAGTTTGTCGGCTACGGGGTCGTTGACACCGTAATAGCGATCCTTAATATTTTGATCAGCTAGAGGGTCCTCAGGGTCTGTGGGTTTCTCATGTCTGTAGGGGCACTCTTCACCACGTCGGCATTCGCCTTTCACCCAGAAGGAGCACACATGGGGCCTGTTTCGTTTATAGTAGGGGGCTGTGCGTGCAAGACGCATTAACAAGTCATTTGGTTCGTTTAATTTGTTGGTTAAGACACCAGAGTCGGAACGTTGGAGCTATAAAAACCTAATTAAACCCACGTTTATAGAAATTCCAAAACCTACCTCTCTCTCCATGTTTTGTATGTAATACTCTTTATTCACATCGCTCTTGGGCAAGTCGTCTTTCAATTTGAGAGCCGCATCGCGCACTTGTATTGGTAACCCGTATTCCAAGTCTAGGAGGCACGTCTGACAAACATTTTTCAGTTTACTGCAAGTCTGACAAACTTCGGTCTTTTTGAAGCGCATTCGAGCACCGGGGCACCACCGGAATACTGTGAAAGGTCTTGAGCAAATTTTACACTCCTTGCCATATTTTTCTTTAGTCTGGAAGTTCACCCAAGTTTAAATCGCGATTTTATAAGTATTATTTCTTACCATTCGTATGTAGGGGTTGTCGCCTAAGCACGTCTGGCACAAAATCGGAAAATCCTGAAACACAAGCACCCATTAGTGAGGTTAGGTCCTTCGCCCAACTCAAATAACCCACCGCATCCTCCCAGTTCTGCCTATTGTACGTATTCGTGGTTTTGGAAGTGGCCATTGCGATTTAAGTCATCTGCGGGCTTCGGAATCAACCAACAACGCATAAACAACTTTTATAATTCCAACGCTTTGACATTTGACACCGTTTGACAGTAGTGACAACGACAGGTGACATAACGCAGGGTCGCCAACCTGCCGATGGGAGGTGACCCGCGGACTCCAGTGGCGCAGGCGTCATCCGTGGTGTCTCATTTATGACCATTTATGGCAAACATAACCGCTAGATAATATATAAAATCGAGAAATTTGCGAAATTGTACACAAGCGTTCGTAATTAATCCGTGTGCCAGCGGATTTTCTCAACTGCCAAACTTCACACCGACCAAATTTTTGTAGGCGTTTATCGTACTCGTGTTCCACTTGAGGATTTTCCCCATTTCCGGTAAACCGGGTCAGTTTGCTAATTTTTCACAGAAAAAGGGAGAAAGCCTGACCATGTCATACGCATCAAGTAAGTGTGACTCATTTGTTTCGTTCTGACATTAAAAACAATTGAACTGGCTAATGTAAAATTGTGTGAAAATCCGGCTTTTTTGTCGAATGAACGTTATCTTATCTTTCCCAGAGAGTATTTATGCGACTTTGCCGCGCACCCAACGCGGACAACCCCTGGTGCTGGGCGGGGACCCCAAAGGCAAAAATTTCTTGTACACCAATGGTAACTCTGTGATCATTCGTAACATACAAGTAAGTGTGTCGAGGGCGAAGAACACGTCTGATTAGTCTGTTGCAGAATCCAGCCATTGCTGATGTGTATACCGAGCACTCATGCCCAGTGAACGTAGCCAAGTACTCTCCGAGTGGATTCTACATAGCTTCTGGAGGTTAGTAACCCATCATGGAATCTTACCATGTTCGTTTATTGAACATCATGTCCATTTCAAACGCCAATCTAGTGGCAAATTGAGCTGCTTAGTTTGACAGTTCCATTAATAATGATAATGGCACGTTAACCTCAAAATTTTGCTAATTGTGTATCAAATTTTTCCAAATCAAACAACTTAGGCAACACACAATACCCATTTTTTTGGTGATTTTTTATCCAGGTTATTTGTATACCTATACTGTAATCGAGTCCATCGGGTGACTGACTATTTTCATGTTTTCTCGACGTTTCATGACCCCTAGAGTACGAACAAATCTGTCCCCGTTTCCGTCTGTCTGTGTTGATTTTTTTTAGTCAAATAATATCTGAATTTACTGGACCAATTGTTGTTAAATTTTGTATGCAAAATTCGTCTGACCACCCCCACCAACAATGGAATGACGTCATCTCCAAATTTAACAATAGTAAAGTTATTAAATTTTATAAACGAAGTAACGTATTTTTCCATTTGTGGTTTATGAATTCGTGCTGAGTTTTTCTCTTACCTTATTTAAATGTTAAAAAGTAACATACTTGTCGTTTATGAATCCGTTTTATAGACAAGGAGATTTTTGGAAAAAAAGTCAAACTTGTTTTTCGAATTTTTTAATTTTTTCAATCACATTTTTCATTTTTTCAATTTCTCAGACTTTTGATTTTTCGATTTTTAAAATTTTCAGTTTTTCGATTTATCAATTTTTCGAGATTTCAGTTTTGGAATTTTTCGGTTTTTTATTCTTTAATTTATCAATTTTTTAATCTCTCGGTTTTTTCGATTTTTCAATTTTGGACGAACCAAAGTTTTTGATTTCTCGACATTTCGATATTCAGTTTTGGAACTTTGAAATTTTTCGATTTATCAATTTTTCGACATTTTAGTTTTGAGATTTTTTAATTTCGATTTTTTAAATTTTGGATTTTTTGATATATCAGTGTAGGGATTTTTCAGTTTTTTGATTTTCAATTTTTATGGTGCTCAATATTTGGGTATTTCATTTTTGGAACTTTTCAATTTTTCGATTTCTCGATTTTTATTTCATTTTTCGATTTCTCGATTTTTATTTTATTTTTCGATTTCTCGATTTTTATATTATTTTTCGATTTCTCGATTTTTGGCGTTCCTAAGTTTTTGAATTTTCGATTTCCCAAATTTTTGATTCTTCAATTTTTCGATTTTTTCCGAGTTTTTAAATTTTAGATTTTTCAATTTCTTGATATGTATTTCGATTTTTCATTTTTTCCATTTATCAATTTCTTGATTTTCTATTTTTCGATCTTCATTGTTTTAGTTTTTGACAAGTTTTCCATTTTTGGATTTCTCGATTAATCGATTTTTCAACTTTCCGATTTATCGATTTTTTTGTCAATGTCTTGATTTCTCAATTTTTCGATATTTCCGTTTTTGGATTTTTTAATTTTTTGGTTTTTAAATTTCTCCATTTTTAAATTTTTCGTTTTCTCGATTTTACATTTATCAATTACATATTGAATTTTTCGATATTTCAAAATGTATTTCGATTTTTTAAATCTTAAAATGTTTCGACAACTCGATTTCAGTGTTTCGGTTCTTCAATTTTTCGATATATTAAATTTTAGATTTTTCGTTTTCTCGAATTTTCGATTATTTCAGTTTTGACATTTTTCATTTTTTGATTCTTCAATTTTTCGATTTTTCAATTTCTCGTTCTGTTTTCAGTTTTTCTATTTTCAATTTTTGGGTTTTTAAATTTTTTGATTTTTCAGTTTTCGACGTACCTAAGTTTTTGATTTCTCAGCATTTCAATGTTCGATTTTTTAGTTTATCAATTCTTGTATTTTCCATTTTTTCGACTTTTCTATTTATTAATTTTTCGACATTTCAGTTTTAGAATTTTCTTACTTCGATTTTTTAAATGTTACATTTTTCAGTTTTTTGATTCTTTATTGTTTCGATCTTTCAATTTCTCGATTTTCATTTTTACTAGTATGTACCCAATTTTTGGGTATTTCAGTTTTGGAATTTTTCAATTTCCTGATTTTTATTTTATTTTTCGATTTCATAATATTTGGTATTCGTAAGTTTTCGAATTTTTGATTGCTCCATTAATCGATTTTGTCGACTTTTCGATTTTTCAGTTTTTCAATTTTTTAAATTTCCGAATTTTCAACAATTTTTCAATGTTTCGGTTTTGAGATTTTTCAGTATTTCCAATTTTCAATTTTTCGCATTTTTTTTTAATTTCATCAATATTTTGAGATTTCCCGATTGTTAAATTTGATTTTTTAAATTTTTGATTTTTCGATTTTTAATTTTTTTGTTCTTAAACTGTTCAATTTTTCGATTTTTTTTTTTGTCGAAAATATTTCAATTTTTCGTTTCCCAATTTTTCAGTGCTCCGAATTTTCCATTTTTCGAGAATTCACTTTGGGGATTTTTCAATTTCTCCGTTTTTGTTAGTTTTCAGTTTTTCGATTTTTTCAAATTTTCGATTTCTTAAATTTGACATTTTTTGATGTTCCGATTTCCCGATTTTGAGAGTAACAAACGGGAGAATGAGAGAGAGAGTGACAAACGGGAGAATGAGAGAGTGATAAATAGGAGAATGAGGGAGAGAGTGATAAATGGGAGAATGGGAGAGAGTGATAGACGGGAGAATGAGAGAGAGTAATAAATGGGAGAATGAGAGAGAGTGATAGACGGGAGAATGAGAGAGAGAGAGTGATAAAAGGGGAGAATGAGAAAGAGTGATAAATGGGAGAATGAGAGAGAGTGATAAATGGGTGAATGAGAGAAAGAGTGATAAATGGGAGAATGAGAGAGAGAATGATAAATGAGAGAATGAAAGATAGTGATAAATGGGAGAATGAGAGAGAGTGAGAGTGATAAATGGGAGAATGAGAGAGAGAGTGATAAATGGGAGAATGAGAGAGAGTGATAAACGGGAGAATGAGAGAGAGTGATAAAGGGGAGAATGAGAGAGAGTGATAAATGGGAGAATGGGAGAGAGTGATGAACGGGAGAATGAGAGAGAGTGATAAAGGGGAGAATGAGAGAGAGTGATAAAGGGGAGAATGAGAGAGAGAGTGATAAATGGGAGAATGAGAGAGAGAGAGTAATAAATGGGAGAATGAGAGAGAGTGATAAATGGGAGAATGAGAGAGAGTGATAAACGGGAGAATGAGAGAGAGTGATAAATGGGAGAATGAGAGAGAGAGAGAGAGAGTAATGGGAGAATGAGAGAGAGTGATAAATGGGAGAATGAGAGAGAGAGAGTGATAAAGGGGAGAATGAGAGAGAGTGATAAATGGGAGAATGAAAGAGAGTGATAAACGGGAGAATGAGAGAGAGTGATAAATGGGAGAATGAGAGAGAGAGAGAGTGTAATAAATCGGAGAATGAGAGAGAGGGATAAATGGGAGAATGAGAGAGAGAGAGAGAGTAATAAATGGGAGAATGAGAGAGAGAGTGATAAAGGGGAGAATGAGAGAGAGTGATAAATGGGAGAATGAGAGAGAGAGTGTAATAAATGGGAGAATGAGAGAGAGTGATAAATGGGAGAAAGAGAGAGAGTGATAAATGGGAGAATGAGAGAGAGAGAGAGAGTAATAAATGGGAGAATGAGAGAGAGTGATAAATGGGAGAATGAGAGAGAGAGAGAGAGAGTAATAAATGGGAGAATGAGAGAGAGTGATAAATGGGAGAATGAGAGAGAGAGAGTGATAAAGGGGAGAATGAGAAGAGAGTGCTAAATGGGAGAATGAGAGAGTGATAAATGGAAGAATGAAAGAGGGTGATAAATGGGAGAAAGAGAGAGAGAGTGATAAATGGGAGAATGGGAGAGAGTGATGAACGGGAGAATGAGAGAGAGTGATAAAGGGGAGAATGAGAGAGAGTGATAAATGGGAGAATGAGAGAGAGAGAGAGAGTAATAAATGGGAGAATGAGAGAGAGTGATAAATGGGAGAATGAGAGAGAGAGTGATAAAGGGGAGAATGAGAGAGAGTGATAAACGGGAGAATGAGAGAGAGAGTGATAGACGGGAGAATGAGAGAGAGAGAGTGATAAAAGGGGAGAATGAGAAAGAGTGATAAACGGGAGAATGAGAGAGAGTGGTAAATGGGAGAATGAGAGAGAGAGAGAGTAATAAACTGGAGAATGAAAGAGAGTGATAAATGGGAGAATGAGAGAGAGTGATAAATGAGAGAATGAGAGAGAGAGTGACAAACGGGAGAATGAGAGAGGGTGATAAATGAGAGAAAGAGAGAGAGTGATAAATGTGAAACACACACACACACACACAGAGAGAGAGAGTGATAAATGGAATAATGGGAGAGAGTGATGAACGGGAGAATGAGAGAGAGTGATAAAGGGGAGAATGAGAGAGAGTGATAAATGGGAGAATGGGAGAGAGTGATGAACGGGAGAATGAGAAAGAGTGATAAAGGGGAGAATGAGAGAGAGTGATAAAGGGGAGAATGAGAGAGAGAGTGATAAATGGGAGAATGAGAGAGAGAGAGTAATAAATGGGAGAATGAGAGAGAGTGATAAATGGGAGAATGAGAGAGAGTGATAAACGGGAGAATGAGAGAGAGTGATAAATGGGAGAATGAGAGAGAGAGAGAGAGAGTAATGGGAGAATGAGAGAGAGTGATAAATGGGAGAATGAGAGAGAGAGAGTGATAAAGGGGAGAATGAGAGAGAGTGATAAATGGGAGAATGAAAGAGAGTGATAAACGGGAGAATGAGAGAGAGTGATAAATGGGAGAATGAGAGAGAGAGAGAGTGTAATAAATCGGAGAATGAGAGAGAGGGATAAATGGGAGAATGAGAGAGAGAGAGAGAGTAATAAATGGGAGAATGAGAGAGAGAGTGATAAAGGGGAGAATGAGAGAGAGTGATAAATGGGAGAATGAGAGAGAGAGTGTAATAAATGGGAGAATGAGAGAGAGTGATAAATGGGAGAATGAGAGAGAGAGAGAGAGTAATAAATGGGAGAATGAGAGAGAGTGATAAATGGGAGAATGAGAGAGAGAGAGAGAGAGAGTAATAAATGGGAGAATGAGAGAGAGAGAGTGATAAAGGGGAGAATGAGAAGAGAGTGCTAAATGGGAGAATGAGAGAGTGATAAATGGAAGAATGAAAGAGGGTGATAAATGGGAGAAAGAGAGAGAGAGTGATAAATGGGAGAATGGGAGAGAGTGATGAACGGGAGAATGAGAGAGAGTGATAAAGGGGAGAATGAGAGAGAGTGATAAATGGGAGAATGAGAGAGAGAGAGAGAGTAATAAATGGGAGAATGAGAGAGAGTGATAAATGGGAGAATGAGAGAGAGAGTGATAAAGGGGAGAATGAGAGAGAGTGATAAACGGGAGAATGAGAGAGAGAGTGATAGACGGGAGAATGAGAGAGAGAGAGTGATAAAAGGGGAGAATGAGAAAGAGTGATAAATGGGAGAATGAGAGAGAGTGATAAATGGGTGAATGAGAGAAAGAGTGATAAATGGGAGAATGAGAGAGAGAATGATAAATGAGAGAATGAAAGATAGTGATAAATGGGAGAATGAGAGAGAGTGAGAGTGATAAATGGGAGAATGAGAGAGAGAGTGATAAATGGGAGAATGAGAGAGAGTGATAAACGGGAGAATGAGAGAGAGAGTGATAAAGGGGAGAATGAGAGAGTGATAAATGGGAGAATGGGAGAGAGTGATGAACGGGAGAATGAGAGAGAGTGATAAAGGGGAGAATGAGAGAGAGAGTGATAAATGGGAGAATGAGAGAGAGAGAGTAATAAATGGGAGAATGAGAGAGAGTGATAAATGGGAGAATGAGAGAGAGTGATAAACGGGAGAATGAGAGAGAGTGATAAATGGGAGAATGAGAGAGAGAGAGAGAGAGAGAGAGTAATGGGAGAATGAGAGAGAGTGATAAATGGGAGAATGAGAGAGAGAGAGTGATAAAGGGGAGAATGAGAGAGAGTGATAAATGGGAGAATGAAAGAGAGTGATAAACGGGAGAATGAGAGAGAGTGATAAATGGGAGAATGAGAGAGAGAGTGTAATAAATCGGAGAATGAGAGAGAGGGATAAATGGGAGAATGAGAGAGAGAGAGAGAGTAATAAATGGGAGAATGAGAGAGAGAGTGATAAAGGGGAGAATGAGAGAGAGTGATAAATGGGAGAATGAGAGAGAGAGTGTAATAAATGGGAGAATGAGAGAGAGTGATAAATGGGAGAAAGAGAGAGAGTGATAAATGGGAGAATGAGAGAGAGAGAGAGAGTAATAAATGGGAGAATGAGAGAGAGTGATAAATGGGAGAATGAGAGAGAGAGAGAGAGTAATAAATGGGAGAATGAGAGAGAGTGATAAATGGGAGAATGAGAGAGAGAGAGTGATAAAGGGGAGAATGAGAAGAGAGTGCTAAATGGGAGAATGAGAGAGAGTGATAAATGGAAGAATGAAAGAGGGTGATAAATGGGAGAAAGAGAGAGAGTGATAGATGGGAGAATGGGAGAGAGTGATGAACGGGAGAATGAGAGAGAGTGATAAAGGGGAGAATGAGAGAGAGTGATAAATGGGAGAATGAGAGAGAGAGAGAGAGAGTAATAAATGGGAGAATGAGAGAGAGTGATAAATGGGAGAATGAGAGAGAGAGTGATAAAGGGGAGAATGAGAGAGAGTGATAAACGGGAGAATGAGAGAGAGAGAGTGAGAGAGAGAGAGAGGGATAAATGGGAGAATGAGAGAGAGAGTGGTAAATGGGAGAATGAGAGAGAGAGAGAGTAATAAACTGGAGAATGAAAGAGAGTGATAAATGGGAGAATGAGAGAGAGAGTGATAAATGGGAGAATGAGAGAGAGTGATAAATGGGAGAATGAGAGAGAGTGATAAATGGGAGAATGAGAGAGAGTGATAAATGAGAGAATGAGAGAGAGAGTGACAAACGGGAGAATGAGAGAGGGTGATAAATGAGAGAAAGAGAGAGAGTGATAAATGTGAAACACACACACACACACACACAGAGAGAGAGTGATAAATGGAATAATGGGAGAGAGTGATGAACGGGAGAATGAGAGAGAGTGATAAAGGGGAGAATGAGAGAGAGAGTGATAAATGGTAGAATGAGAGAGAGAGAGAGAGAGAGAGAGAGAGTAATAAATGGGAGAATGAGAGAGAGAGAGTAATAAATGGGAGAATGAGAGAGAGAGTGATAAAGGGGAGAATGAGAGAGAGTGATAAACGGGAGAATGAGAGAGAGAGAATAAAAACTGGAGAATGAGAGAGAGTGATGAACGGGCGAATGAGAGAGTGATAAAGGGGAGAATGAGAGAGAGTGATAAATGGTAGAATGAGAGAGAGAGAGAGAGAGAGAGAGAGAGTAATAAATGGGAGAATGAGAGAGAGAGAGTGATAAAGGGGAGAATGAGAGAGAGTGATAAACGGGAGAATGAAAGAGAGTGATAAATGGGAGAATGAAAGAGAGTGAAAAATGGGAGAATGAGAGAGAGAGTGATAAAGGGGAGAATGAGAGAGAGTGATGAACGGGAGAATGAGAGAGAGTGATAAAGGGGAGAATGAGATAGAGTGATAAACGGGGGAATGAGAGAGAGAGTGATAAATGGGAGAATGAGAGAGAGTGATAAATGGGAGAATGAGAGAGAGGATTTTTAGACTTCTCGATTTTTCGATTTCCAATTTTTCAGTGTTTCGGTTTCTCAATTTTTCGATGTTTCAAATTTTCGATTTCTGAAATTTTACATTTTTCAAATTTTCTATTGTTTTCCCAATTGTTAATCTTTTTCTGCATTTTCCAATTTTAGTAGTTTATTTGACTACTAAATTGCATTTCTGCATTTTCCAATTTTTAAACTTTTTCGACTTTTAGATTTTCCAAGGTTTTGATTTCTCAATTTTTCAACGTTGCAATCTTGAAAACTGCTCAATTTTTCGATTTTTGAACTTTTCGGATTTCGATTTTTCGGTTTTTCAATTTTGCGATTTTTCGGTTTTTAGATTTTTCGGAAAGTATTTTTTCACGGTGGCTATCTGTTTTAAATATGTATAGTTCATAGTGTCCGCACTTGTACAAACGCTAAGAGAGTGTTATTTATTTTAGAAAACAAAAATAACAAAAAACATTTCTAATTTTTCGAAAAAGCTGGATATGTTTCATTGTACTTCAGGTGCGAGGAAAGTTCCGTGGAACTAACCTTCGACCAACCTTGGAAAAATCCTTCAAAATCCTTCTAATTTTCAGACCAGTCGGGCAAAGTCAGGATCTGGGACACCGTCAACAAGGAGCACATCCTCAAAAATGAGTTCCACCCGATCGGCGGCCCCATCAAGGACATCGCCTGGTCCCCCGACAACCAGCGCATGGTGGTGGTGGGCGAAGGCCGCGAGCGCTTCGGCCACGTCTTCATGTCAGAAACCGGCACCTCCGTGGGCGAGATCTCCGGCCAATCCAAACCCATCAACTCGTGCGACTTCAAACCGTCGAGACCCTTCCGAGTGATCACCGGCTCCGAAGACAACACGATCGCCGTCTTCGAGGGACCCCCGTTCAAGTTCAAAATGACGAAGCAGGTAGGCCTCGACCCAAAGTAGGGTTGCGTAGTCACGCGGTTCGAATTCCCGTAGGATCACAGCCGGTTCGTGCAAGCCGTGCGCTATTCGCCGACCGGGAACCTGTTTGCGTCCGCCGGATTCGACGGGAAGGTGTTCATTTACGACGGGACGTCGTCGGATTTGGTGGGGGAAGTGGGAAGCCCCGCCCACAGCGGAGGCGTGTACGGGGTGAGTTGGAGTCCTGACGGGAAGCAACTGTTGACCGCCAGCGGGGACAAAACCGCCAAGTTGTGGGACGTGGAGACCAGGCAGGTCGTGTCCGAGTTCGTCCTGGGGGCGTCGGTGGAAGATCAACAAGTAAGGGCGTGATTGCGTTAAGTTTTGAGGTTAACCACGCCCACTTTCCGTTTTCTTTGTAGGTATCCTGCCTATGGCAAAACGAATATTTGCTCACCGTCTCGCTGAGCGGTTTCATCAACTACCTCGACGTAAACAACCCAACGAAACCTCTTCGAATCGTCAAAGGTCACAACAAACCCATCACCGTACTGGAATTGAGCGAGGACCGTGGTACGATCTTCACTGGGTCCCACGATGGTAACGTAACCCGGTGGACCGCCGAAACCGGCGAGAACGACCGCATAGAAGGGGTGGGTCATGGTAACCAAATCAACGGGATGCGAGTCCACGGAAACGTTTTGTACACCTGCGGGATTGACGATTCCTTGAAGCAAATCGACATCGAAGGTAACACATACAAAGGACAGGACCTGAAACTGGGAAGCCAACCCAGAGGGATGGACGTGTTCAAAGAACAGAACATTGTGGTTACTGCCAGCGTGAACGAAATCACTGTGGCGCAGGATAATAGGAAAGCTAGCACCGTCAAGGTAACTATTGTGTGGTTAAATTTGTAATTTTGTGGGAGGGGCTAAATGGCGTTGTGTGTAGGTGTCGTACGAGCCTACCAGTGTCAGTACGTCGCCGAGAGGCCACGTGGCCGTGGGCGGAGCCTCGGACAACAAAGTGCACCTGTACGAGTTGAAGGGGACGCAGTTGGAGCCAATGAAGGAGCTCGATCACTTGGGGGGCGTGACCGACGTTGCGTACTCGCCAGACGACAACTACCTGGTGGCGTGTGATGCGCACAGGAAAGTTGTGCTTTATAGTGTGCCTGAGTATAAGGTAAGTGTATTTGTGTGATTGGTGGAACGAAACGAAACGTCAGTCAGAAAGTTGAAAGTATGAGTTTGATTTGTTGTGTGTTACACGCGTTCTGGGATTATGATAGAGCGTAAGTATATACACGGTGTCGATATTTTTTTGAGTTTTCGATTTTTTTTTTTGTGTAGCTTGCCACTAATCAAGAGTGGGGTTTCCACAACGCCCGCGTGAATTCCGTGGCTTGGTCCCCGGACTCTCTGCTGGTCGCTAGTGGCAGTCTGGATACCAGCATCATCATCTGGTCCGTGGAAAAACCGGCCAAGCACATCATCATCAAAAGTAAGTGTCAGACAGTTGATTAAATACATATAGATAGTCCCATCCCATGGTTTCGAGCGTACAGCCCGCAAAAAGATTGAATTTGATTTTTATTATTTTATCAAATTAGATTCACATTAACAATAATAATAATAAATAACATTATTAATAATAAAAAAAAATAGCTGAAGTAACTATGAAATTATATATCCAGATGTTCTGTATTTGGGAATCTCCACCAAAAACTCGACTAGGAACCGCGCACTCCGCTTCCACCACGTGTTTCTGAGTTAAAGTTTCTAAAGAGCAATAAACAACATTTAAGGTGGTATCACTCAGAATTGTCACACAATTGTTTTCGTGTCCCATCTAGTGAATCATCATAACGAATGGTTAATTGTGTGTAAAGATAATAAGACGTAAATTTGAGGCAAAAACAATCCCATGATAAATGGAATTTCAATCGCCAAATTTTTATAATTAACTTTAAATTTCGAAAATAGAAAAATTCAAATATAGAAGAACTGAAAACTCGAGAAATCGAAAAACTTAAAATTTTAAAAATTGAAAACTTAAAATATCGAAAAGTTGAACGATTGTGAAAACCGAAAGTTCAAAAAACGAAAAATTGAAAATCCAAAAAGTAAAAAGTCGAGAAATCGAAAAATCCAGAACGTGAAAAATCCAAAAGTCGAAATACTAGAAAATCCCAAAATTGAAAAATTGGGAAATCGAAAAGCCGAAAAATTGCAAACCTAAAGAATCGAAAAATTGAAAAATCTGGAGCCTGAAAAAGCGAAAAATTGAGGAACTGAAAAACTGAAAAATCGAAACCTTCGCAAGTCGAAAATGGGAAAACCAAAAAATAGATTAATTGAGACATCGTAAAACTGAAAATTCAGAAACGTCAAAACTTGAAAATATAAAAAATTGGAAAATTCAAAAGTAAAAAAACGAAAAACCGATAAATCGAAAAATCGAAACATCGAAAAATTAAAAAACTGAGACAATCAAAACATCGAAACATCCGAATCTCGATAAATCGAGTTCTCAAAAAATTGAAAAATCGAAAAACAAAATTTAGCAACGTCAAAATTTTAAAAATTGGAAAATAGAAATATTGAAGAAACGGAAAATCAAAAAATCCAGAAATCGAAAAATTTAAAATTTAAAACATTGAACAATTGAAATATCGCAAAATTGAAAAATGGAGAAATCCAAACATCAAAGAATCAAAAAAGAAAAATTCGAAAATCTAAAACTTAAAAATCGAAAAACAGAAAAATAGACAAATCGAAACTCCAGAATTTAAAAAAATTGAAAAATCAGATAACTGAAAAATCGAAACATCGAGAAATAGAAAAACATTGAGAAATTGATAAATTGAGAAATAAAAAAAATTTAAAAATTTTAAAAAAGAAAATTAAAACATCGAAAAGTTGAAAAAAAAATTAAGAAATCTGAAGTTAAAGAAAAATTGAAAAAAAGGGGTGGATACCCAAAAACTGCAAACTGAAAAATTTAAAAATTGGAAAATCGTCGAATTGGAATCGATTGGCCTGAAAATTTGAAAAATTGAATAAACGAAAAATTGGAAAATCGAAAGAAACAACAAAAATTAAGGAAATGAAAAAACAAAAAATTGTGATATAAAATCGAGAAAATGAAAAATAAAAAATCAGGAAAATGCAAAATAAAAATCGGGGAGTGGAAAAATAGAGGGGACAGAAAATTGAAAATGGGCACAATTAAAAATCGAGAATGTGAAAAATGGAAAAATGAGAAATTGTGATATTGAAAAATTGGAAAATTTGAAAGTCGACAAATTGTAAAATTCAAAAATCAAAAATAAAAAAACGAAAAAGTATAATAAAAACTTAAAAAATGTACAAAGTGAAAATCAAACTTGAAAATTTGAAGAAAAATTGCTAAAAACCTGAAAATTTGAAAAATTTAATAAAAGAAAAATTGTAAAATCGAAAGAAACAACAAAAAATAAAAGAAATCAAAAAAAAGGAAAATTGTGATATAAAATCGAAAAAGTGAAAATCTGTAATATTGAAAAATTGCCAAATTGCTAACTAACTAATGCAAACCGAAAAATTGAAAATTTTGGAAGTCGAGAAGGAAAAATTACAAAATGAAAACTTGAAAAATCATAAAAATCAAAAAAGTGAAAAATAAAAAAAAAGAAATAGGTGTTATGATATAGAAATATTTAAAATTAAAGAAATTGGAAAATCGGAAGACTGGAAATCCAAGAACTGCAAAGTGAAACATTTAAAAATTGAAAAATGGACGAACTGAAAATTCAAAGCCTGAAAATTTGAAAAACTGAACAAATGAAAAATTGTAAAATCGAAAAAAAAACACAGAAAATAAAGGAAATGAAGAAACGGACAATTGTGATATAAATCGAGAAAATAAAAATCAAAAATTCGCCACACTGAAAAATAAAAATCGGGAACATGAAAAATTGTGGAAACGAAAAATTGCAAATCAAAAAATTGAAAAATTTAGAAGTCAAGAAACTGTGAAATTGAAAAATTAAAAATAAAAAACGAATAAGTTTATGATGAAAAAATGAAAAATGTCAAAAGTGAAAATCAAACATGAAAATTTGAAGAAACGAAAATTTGAAAAATCGAAAGATTAAAAATTGAAAAACTTAAAATTCGAAAACGTGAAAAATAAAAAAAAAGAAATATGTATTGTAAAATCAAAATATTGAAAATTAAAGAAACTGAAAAATTGGAAGACTGGAAATCCAAAAACTGCAAATTGAATCAAAAATAAAAAACGAAAAATTACAAAATGAAAACTTAAAAAAAAATCATAAGAATCGAAAAAGTGAAAAATAAAAAAAAAGAAATATGTATTATGAAACAGAAATATTTAAAATTAAAGAAATTGGAAAATCGGAAGACTGAATATTCAAAGCCTGAAAATTTGAAAAACTGAACAAATGAAGAATTGTAAAATCAAAAAAAACACAGAAAATAAAGGAAATGAAGAAACGGACAATTGTGATATAAATCGAGAAAATAAAAATTAAAAATTCGCCACATTGAAAAGTAAAAATCGGAAACATGAAAAATTGTGGAAACGAAAAATTGAGAAACTGAAAATTCGAAAAATTGAAGAAACGAAAAATTGAAAAATCGAAAGAAACAAAAAAAATTAAGGAATTGAAAAAATGAAAATTTGTGACATAAAATCGAGAAAATGAAAATTAAAAAAATCGGGAAAATGAAAAAAAAATCGAGAACTTGAAAAATTGAGGAAACGAAAAATTGAAAATGACAAAAATTAAAAACTGAGAATGTGAAAAATCGAAAAATGAGAAATAATGTAATATCGACTGCTGCACTTTTCTACGGTCTTTTTCCACAGTGGGGGGGGGGGGCAACGTTCAGTTAATTATTGGCAATCTTTAAGAATTAAGAAGTGTTATAATCCACTTACGTATTACCATCCAGAAACGTTGTTCGTAATTCGGTAACAAAAAAAATCTCCTAGCAAGCACTTTATCGGAACAATCTCTGACGGTTAAGCTTGTCTTAGAACCAGTTAACGATTAAAATCCCAACATGAACTGTGAATTTACAAACAATAAAACAAATTTACACAACATGTTAGCGTCGATACGATTAACTGTCGGTAAACAAAGGCTTCCTCCCTTTTATTAACTATCAAGCCAACTTAACTTATCCACTACCCAAAAGGCGCTAACGTGCACATGGTTGCCTATGTTTAACGATTTTTCTTTAAAATTTTCATTTTAAATGGGACTATCTATATGTAATCACTACCTTAGGTTAAAAATGACGGTACGATTGACCCATTTCAGACGCCCATGCTCAAAGCCAGGTGACCAGACTGGCGTGGCTCGACAACCAGACCCTGGTTTCGGTGGGCCAAGACTGCAACACGAAGCTGTGGACCATCACCAAGTTCTAATTTTCCTATTTTCTCCTTTATTTTGCATTTAACGTGCGATTTCGTAAGCTTTTTATTTATTTAGGGTGAAGCAGTGGAGCCCCGCGGCTCGCCGGGACTGACTTGTCAATTAATTTTATTTATTTCCCCTTTTCTATTAATCATGTAAATATTTAAATTACGGAGGAGTGTTCGATAACTGCTAAATCATCCAAAAACTATAATCTAAAGTATTATTTTTATTTATATGAATAAATGGCTGTATTGATCAGGTGATTTTCTTCCGCTTCCTGGTGTGGTACTCCTCGGGGTGGCGGTACGACACGTGCTTGCGCAGGGCGTCCCTGCTCCGGGACACGTGCGGGCAGGACTGGCAGGCGTGGTAGGCCTCCTCGTGGGTCTCCATGTGGACGCGGAGGTTGTACTGGTTGCTCAGGTACTTGCCGCAAAGGAAACACTTGCACGTCTCGGATAAGTCTTTCGGGGGTTTGCGGGTGAAGAGGGTGAAGGGGTCGTCGTCTTCGTCGGGTTTCAAGGGGACGTCGGCGAAATCTGCAAGATGCAGGTTAGTGGCGGGGCGGCGCGAGGGGCGTGACTTACTCTCGGCGGGTTTGTCCCAGAGGGGCGGTCTGGGCGGGGTGGCGTCGCGCTCGTCGGGTCTGGGCGGGGTTTCGAGTGGAATTTCTTTGGGGGGAGGTCTTTTATCGCTTGTGTCGGCTTGGATGGGTTTATCAGGTACCTAAACACTGGTGGTGTTAGTTTTTAGACAAGTTTCAAACTTATAAAACATTATGAATTGCATGCAAGGAAAATGTCAATTTTCAAAAAATTTAAACGAACACTTTTATTAGTTGTAAATATGAAAAGATACAAGTCAACAATTGAGAAACTTGAAAGCGAAAGATAAATTTAAAACCAGGAATTTAATACAAATCAGGAACATTATATTAATATCGGGTTGGCAATTCTGACTTATTGGCAGCCATGCTAATATGTCAATTTGACAATCAGGTATGTTGCCAACCTGACAAAAAATTATAAACACTAATAGTAACTCGGTACAATTTCACAAACTATGCTGATTCATATGACTGTAACAAACACCAGTCAAAACACACTTAATCAAGTTATTTTTTATTTACGCCTATAACTGGAAATTATCCAGACATATTTAGAGAAAGTAAGGGAGACAAACAGACACAGAGAGCGAGAAAGAGAGAGAAATACAATATTGAATAATTTGATGACTTAAAACTGTGGAAGATATAAAAATTTGGAATGATTTTAAGGCTTAGAAGTTTTGGGAAAAAACAGCAAATTAGGCAAGTTACGACGTTTTACCATTTCTTGACATTCTAGGAATCTCACATTTCTAAAATAGAATTTAAAAATAATACTGAAGTTTCACTTATCACATCACATTTATTTGAATTAGCTAATGACTTACAGGATACTGCTTCAGTAAATTCTTGTAGAAACACAAGATTTTGGACGTTATAATATTCACGTATTTACTAAAACTCGGCTAACGCCTCGTTGCACGCAAGCTGATGGTTTTACTCTACATTTATTTTAATTTAAGCAGTTTTCATAAAGTGATAATAGAACTTTAGACTTCAGCATCCTTAATGAGTTGTTTACTATTTTTTTTTCTAGTTTAAATACGCACTTTTTATGTTATGAAAAACAAATCAATTCATTTATCAATTTTTTCCCAAAAAAAGATAGAACCAAATCTTCATTGGACAATTTTGTAAGATGACGTCATCGATTTTTTGGAGGAAGGAATAAACAAAGAGTAAAACGTTAATTAATAATACGATTTAATTAATAATTTGTAAACTAAAAAAGTATTGTAATCGAATTTAGCGGGCGACTGCTGCTTTTATGTTTTCTCGACGTTTCATGACCCCTAGAATACCAAAACATAAATATCTCGTTTCTGTCTATCTGTGTCGATTTAGATTATCTCCGAAACTACCGAACTGATTGTTGTCAAATTTTGTAAGCTTTAGGATGTTGAAATCTACAAATTTGTTTAGATATTTTTTGAAAGTGCTTGAGAAAAGATCAAAATGTAATACCTCTAAAATCAAAATTTTTTATTAAAAAATTGACCTCTTAGAAAAATTGCCGAAGCATCCAGAACAAATTCCAAGATATAGATCTTGAATGGCTGATTCGAAAAACATAAGGTGTTTATGGTTTCGGATCAAGATTTGCTAAATAGTCGAATGGAAAATTAACAATCAATTTCAAAAATTATAAAAAAAATTTTGAACCTCTATAAGATAAAAATCGAAAAATGAAACATTTTAAAAATCGAAAAATTTTAATTAAACGTAAATTGAAAAATTTTAATAAATGTAAATCGAAAAATTGTAATTAACGTAAATCGAAAATTTTAAATTTGAAAAAATCGAAGAACTGAAAAATCGGGAAATTGACCAATCGAAAAACTAAAAAATCCTGAAACTGAAAAATGGAAGAAAAACTGAAGAATCGAAATATTGAAAAAATTTAAAACTGAAGTATCAAAAAATGTAGGAGGTAATCCAAAAATTGAAAATCAAGGAATAAAAATCTGAAAAGTCGAGAAGTTGAAATGGTTTTAAATCGAAAAATGAGGAAATTGAATAAACGAAAAATTAAAAAACCTAAAATTTAAAACCGAGAAGTCGAAAAATCTGAAGATCGAAAAATCGAAACATCAAAAAATCGTATAAAATCGAAGAATAAAAACATTAAAAAATTAAAAATCGACTAACTGAAAAATCAAAAAATTTAAAACTCGAATAACGGAAAAATGAGAAAACTGTTGAAAATTTTGGAAATCGAAAAATTCCTATAATTGAAATTTTGAAAAACTGAGAAATCGAAAGTTTGAAAAATTGAAAAATCGGGACATCAAAAGATCGAAAAATCGAAATAACAAATAAAATCGAAAAATTGAAAAATCGAAAATTTTAAATTTGAAAAAATCGAAGAACTGAAAAATCGGGAAATTGACCAATCGAAAAATTAAAAAATCCAAAAATTTAAAAACCGCAAAATTTAAAACCTAGAAGTCGAAAAATCCAAAGATCAAGAAATCGAAACATGTAGAAAAATAAAAAAATTTAGAAATCGAATAACTGAAAAATCAAAAAAACGGGAAAACGCAAAATCCTGGAATCGAAAAATTCCCAAAATTGAAAATTCAAACTTGAAAAATTGATCATCGAAAAACCGAAACATCAAAAGATCGAGAAATCGGGAATTGAACAGTCGAAAAATTAAAAAATCAAAAATTTTAAAAACCGAAATATCAAAAAATATATATATTAAAAAATTTAAAAATGGGGAAATCGCACAAATTAAAAATTTTAAAATCGAAAAATGAAAAATTCCAATTGGGAAATGATCAATTCAAACATTGAAAGATTTTAAAACTAGAAAAATCGGAGAATTGAAAAGTCGAAAAATCGGGAAATTGAACAAAGGAGAAATTAAAAAATTGAAAAATCGAAACATTTTAAAACCGCAAAATCTAAAACCGAGAAGTCGAAAAATCTACAGATCGAAAAACGGAAATATCAAAAAATCGTATAAACAAAAAGTAAAAAAACCAAAAAAATTAGCAATCGGATAACTGAGAAATAAAAAAAAAAACGGATAAACGCAAAATCCAAAATTTAAAAAATCGAAAACTGAAAAATGAGAAAACTGTTGAAAAATTGGGAAATCTAAAATTTAATAAACTGAAAAATCCAGAAACTGAAAACTTCCCACAATTGAAATGTTCAAAAATTGAGAAAGCGAAAACTTAAAAAACTGAAACATCAAAAGATCGAGAAATCGCAAAGTCGGAAAACCGAAAAATCAAAATAACAAATAAAATCGAAAAATTGAACGGTCGAAAAATCGGAACGTTAAAATTTCGATTAATCCAGAAATCGAAAAATTTAAAAATCAAAAATTTCAAAAATCGAAATATCAAAAAATTGATATCTAAAAATATTTAAACATGGGGAAATCGCAAAATTTAAAATTTTAAAAATCGAAAAATGAAAAATTGCAAAACTGAAATGTCAAAAAAAAAATGGGACATGATCAATTCAAACATTGAAAAATTGAAAAATCGAAAAATTAAAACATTAAAAGCTCGAAAAGTCCAAAAAAAGCTCGAGAAGTCGAAATGGCATTAAATCGAAAAATGGGAGCATTAAAAAACCGTATAATATAAAAAAATTTAAAAATCTAAACTTTAAAAATTTGAAGAACCGAAGAATTGAAAAATCGAGAAATGAAACATCAAAAAGTGTCGAAATGGCTTTAAATCCAAAAATTGAAAAATATAAAATTTGAAAAAATCGAAGAAATGTATAATCGAGACATGGGGAACCTGAATAAACGAAAAATTAAAAAAAAAACAAAATCTGAAACCGAGAAGTCGAAAAATCGTATAATCGAAGAATCAAAAATCGAATACCTGAAAAATGAAAAAACGACTGTTGAAAAATTTGGAAATCGAACAATTGAAAATTTAAAAAATTGAAAAATCCAGAAATTGAAAAATTCCCAAAATTGAAATTTTGAAAAACTGAGAAATCGTAAACTTGAAAAATTGAAACATCTATAAATCGAGAAATCGAAATAACATAAATAAAATCCTAATGTTGAAAAATCGGGAATTGTGCATTGAAAAAATCAGAACATCAAAATCTCGATTAATCCAGAAATCGAAAAATTGAAAAATCAAAATTTTTAAAAATCGAAAAACCGAGAAATCGGAATTTCTAAAAAATTGGAAAATATAAACTTTAAAAATTCGAAGAATCGAAATATTGAAAATCGAGAAATTGAAACATCAAACAATTGAGGAATTGAAATATTGAAAAAATTCCAAATCTGAAGTATCGAAAAATTAAGTAATCGAAAAATCAAGAAATTAAGAACTGAAAAACATCGAGAAACTGAAGAATCAAAAAACTAAAAAATCCTGAAACTGAAAAATGGAAGAAAAATTGAAGAATCGAAATATTGAAAAAATTTAAAACTGAAGTATCAAAAAATGTAGGAGGTAATCCAAAAATTGAAAATCAAGGAATAAAAATCTGAAAAGTCGAGAAGTTGAAATGGTTTTAAATCGAAAAATGAGGAAATTGAATAAACGAAAAATTAAAAAACCTAAAATTTAAAACCGAGAAGTCGAAAAATCTGAAGATAGAAAAATCGAAACATCAAAAAATCGTATAAAATCGAAGAATAAAAACATTAAAAAATTAAAAATCGACTAACTGAAAAATCAAAAAATTTAAAACTCGAATAACGGAAAAATGAGAAAACTGTTGAAAATTTTGGAAATCGAAAAATTCCTATAATTGAAATTTTGAAAAACTGAGAAATCGAAAGTTTGAAAAATTGAAAAATCGGGACATCAAAAGATCGAAAAATCGAAATAACAAATAAAATCGAAAAATTGAAAAATCGGGAATTGAACAGTCGAAAAAACAGAATATCGAAAGTCTCGATTAATCCAGAAATCGGAATATCAAAAAATTGGAAAATCTGAACTTTAAAAATTCCAAGAGTCGAAAAATTGAGGAATCGTAAAATAGAGAAATTAAAAATTTAAATACATCGAGAAACTGAAGAATCAAAAACCTAAAAAATCTTGAAACAAAAATACCAAAAACTGAAAAATCGAAGAAAAATTGACGAATCGAAAGATTGAAACATTTTAAGACTGAAGTATCG